AGTTTAAATTAGGGAATTAGCAGTGGGTAAGGGAGCACTATCCAGTGCAGGTTTGAGACCCAAGATTTGGAAAGGCTGTGCAACAGTCCTCCAGCATCTGCTCTCTAAATCACCAGCATGCAGGAAGGCTCTGGCAGAGTTGAGGCACCACAGAAAATTAGCACCCAATCTGCACTGCCAGTCCAACAGACTCCTGCTCTCACTGAGCCAGTGCTCCAAAACCAACCAACTCCGTGATCAACAGGTGGATTAAATCAACAATGAAATCAACATTAGTGTAAACACTTCAAGTGGCCACCTGTTACAGTGAGCTCATGGACACTCTGTGCCCCCTTCCCCGGGACCCTGTGACTCTGATCGAGATAACCCTGGACCCCCTCCTTCCTGCCCCAATGGGGTTGGCGGAGAGCCAGGGAAGCCCACCCTGTCCAAAGTCTATACAGACCCCTGACATTTCCTGTTCATCCTCTTTTGCCCCGCTCTCCCCATGGACACCACAGAATAAAGAGAGCTGAACCAACATATATTGGGGTAAGAGCCTGTTTTGGAAATCTTTGCCATCTCCTGATATTCTTCCCCTCACAGCCTCGGATCTCTGGGCTAGCCTGATATTCAGGGGGCTGTATGAGAGGGGGAACATCAGTCACCTTTGGTGCTCTTATATGTGTTTGTCAGAGGCAAATCCTCTGAAACTGAGAAACGCTCTCAGGGAATTCACATGGAAACCATTTAATGTAAAAAGATATTGTCATGTTCACTTAGCCAACAGTGTCAGCTACCTGGCTCTGTGGAGAAATTGCCCCAAAAAATCCAATCACCTAAAGGTGCAAGCTGTACTTGGCCTCAGAGGATGAAAAAAGCCCAAAATTCACTGCAGTGCTGACTCTGTAGCTGAGTCCAAGAGTATAAATACTGATGGCATGTGGTGATTGGACACTGCTGGGACAGGCTCTCATCACACTCACCTGACACGGAGCAAAGGACATTCAATACTAACACAGGCAATACTCCTCCTTGTGGCTGAGCTTCCAGCTTCCAGGAGCAGGAATAGATTAAAAATATAATACTCTAAAACGTTTTAATGTAAGAGAGACTTTAAAAAAGCACATGAAAGATGAAGCGGGGGGTGTGGGGGAAAGACTATTAAAAAAATCCCTACTTTTTTAAAGAGGATTCTGATTAAATAACAACTCTCATTAAACAGAAGGTTTTAGCTTTCTTGAATATTTCCAATCTTCACCTCAGGAAACCTAATGTGAAAGAGATGCTTGGATCCCCAACAAAATCAGGCATTATCTTTACTCTTGTCTGTACACAGAAAGCATGGAGCAGAGACATCTGACACTCATGGCTCTAACCTGAGGAATAAATAAAACACGGTCCCTGCAGCTATTTTTAAAAGGGGTAAATTTAGAAGGAAGGAAGAGACAAAGGAGTGGAATATATTATTACTTTCAGGGTTTTTTTCAGTGCTCATTGGTTTGTACAAAGGCTTGGTATGTACCAGTAGGCATACAAGTGCTTGTGTGCATATGGCTGTTATTGCCATAATCCAGACACCTATGCAATGTTCCAGTTGTGGAGGATTCACTCTTCCACTGCCACATATCTGAACCGTGACCTGAACAAAAGCTTCATTTGGCACTCTGTAGTCCTGAAAGCCACAGTTTAAAAACATAGGACAACATTCTACAGCAATAGGAAAGTTAAGAGCAAGCATGCAAATTTTTGATCCTTTCCTATTTAAAACCAGTTTATCAAGTTTTTATAGCACAAACTCTAGCTATTCTTGAGGAAATGAGAAAAAGAAGCAGCTTCAAGATGCTGTCCTCTCAGCTGAGACACACAATCCACTCAAGCAGGAAATACACACAAATAGGGGTGGATAGTCAGTGTGAGATGTAGTGATAACAAGCTGCTGACATTTCAGAATTTTCCTTTGAATAGCAGGTGCTGGCTGAGTATACACAATGCTAGAAAGTGGGAAAGAGCTTTCCAGAAGTCATTGCCTTGAATCGCAGAACAACACTGCAAGAGACTGACTGCAAGCTGGTACGTAACCTGGTGCCAGGCCTATGCAGCAAAAATCAGAACAGAACAAAGCAAACACCTTTATTGAAAAAATACTTCAGAGCATTTTAGATGAGGAGAGAGGAGGCATTCATTATCACCATAGCAAAAAGACCGCAACAGACCTGCTCGGAGGAAAGGATGACCAGGCCAGCAAGATCCAGAAGGAAAGACAGATCAAGACACACAGTTTCTGGCATGACAAGATTTAGAAGGGCCTCTTGGGTCATCCCAGACTCTCCTACCACTGGCACACAAAATATATTATTACTTTTGTATGTGGCAAACTGACCTTTTTACATAACAAACCAGTATTTTGTGTCTGCTCTATACTGCATTTATTTCCTTACTTTTTTATTACAGTAATGAAATGGGATTGACTATTCTGTTTTCAGCCATCTCCGATACCAGCAGGAGCTGTCCTTACAGACACAGCAATAAACCCCCTCTTTGTAGCTTCATTGATCAGTCTATTCTCAGAAGTGCTGGAACATAGGGAGAGAATGGGGAAAATACCCATTCGAAGTAAAAAAATAAGAGGTTGCTACCTAGACTAAAAACTATTAATCTGTGAAGCTTTCTGCTAGTCCTGCTTTCCCACAGGTTTCAGAGAGTTGGCAGGAAAACAAACCCAAGCCTGTGAGGAATAAACAATGTCCTACAGTGGCATGTTTGAAATGCAGCGTGCTGACCTCAGAATTGAGGGAGAGAACCTTTGGGAGCTTCTCATAAGCACAAGAGGACAATTCGCCCACTTAAGTCACCACTGTGACACAGCTGTGAGTGGTCCAGGAGCAGCAGCTGGCCTTTGTTATCCTGGCTACACAATACCACAAGGGGAGTCCATGGTGGAGTCCTGGGAGTTTGCTCCCATGTAGTGCCAGGAGTCCTCAGATCTTACACTCATTCCAGATTCTTCCTCTTGCTTTTCATTTTCCTTTGATATCACTTCTATTCACTTTCACCGGCCCATAAAACAGTGTCAGAGGTGTGTGCCATTTTCCCTGTGCACACAGACACATAATAGCCCCTTTTTTCTCCTACTTTCACCTGGCTCTATCTGCCCCATCCCTACCTTCAGCACTGAACCGGTATCAGCAAACATATTCCATGGTCAGACCACAAAAGACTGAGGAATACAAATACAGCCTTTTATCCTCCTGAGTTGAAGCAATTCTTGCTTTTTTGAGCAAGGGTATCTGCATTTGTACACATGTATGTGACCACAAACATACACACATGCCTCAAGTTCCTCTTGAATTCAGCCTCTGAAAAGGCATGAGGCTGTCAGTGTGAAGAACCTGTGTCACATACTCTGGTTCTCTCATTATTTGTTACTGTGCTTAATCAGCTCTTTTACAGAATTACTCCATTCTCATTATCTCCTCTGTTGTTCTGTCCTCCAATGCCATTTACTGGACACAAGCCAGCAGTCCAAGAACTCTTCTTGCCCCCTTTTGCTCACCTTGAGCAACACAGTTACAGCAATCCACAGATACATCACCCCCAACAGAGAGGGCCAGCTCTTTTTCTGGGAGAGATTTGCCTCTCACTAGGATCCACTCTGATGAAGAAATCTTTACACAAGGGCAAAACAAAAAATAACGCCCATCAAATCTGAAAGGTGACCCTCATTTTAGTTAAAACGGTCCAAATCAAGGCTCAATTAAAGCCTCTTTTGTCTCAGGCACAGGCACTAGCAGGCAATCTTGGTTTTGCTGGTATTTAAAATTTTGAAGAAAGAACTGACAGCACCTATAACATCCCCTTTTCTCCCTATAACAATTCTTCCAGAAGCAAGAAAGCCAACATTTGAAAACTGAGATTCACACTTCAGAAAAATAAGTGTCCCATACAAGCAGAGAGAGCAAGGGCACGGGATTTCCATTGTTCAGATTAAAAAAAAAAAAAAAAATTATTCTGCAAAAAAAAAAAAAAAAAAAAAAAAAAAAAAAAAAAAAAAAAAAAAAAAAAAAAAAAAAAAAAAAAAAAAAAAGAAAAAAAAAACCACAAACTGTACTAGATAAAATCAGCAGTGGTGTTTCCTCTCAAACTGCAGAATAGCAACTTCAGTCCTTTTGACCCATGCTGAGGCTTGCATGCCCTGGTAATTTTAGCAAATGAGCAGTTAGGCCTTATCTATCTAAGTCAGGATAATTACTCTGAAAAAGCACCCTATCAGTACAGATCAGGCAGCATAGATTTTCATTTACTCTCACATATTGCACAGAAGTACCACACCTCCTCTCATGAGCTTACAACTGGCCCAGACATTGTAGGGAAGGAAAGAGACTGTTTAAAGAACAATAAAGAACTACTCAACAGAAGGAGAAAGGATTACCTTGAATGGCCTGCCACTGCTTTTTCAGTGATTCTGGTTTTCATCATCATCTCTGTTTTACTTTGCAAAGATTTCAACAATTATAATAAAAGAACTCTATCACATACTTGAGAAAAAAAAATAAAATAAATTATACAAGCAGTTATACCCAACCTTCAGGGAAATCATGACTAGGGCTGTTTGCTGACCCAGCAAACATATTTTGGGTAGAAACACATACTAGGGAAAAAAAAAAACAAAAAAAAAAAAAAAAAAAAAAAAAAAAAAAAAAAGGCACAGTAGAAAAACAGCCGTGAGATAAAAAAGCCTCTTTCTACATCATTCTCATCTCATCACAGAATCCTTGCCATCACTCACTCTGTTAGGAAGTATTTCTCCTAAGGCATACTTCTTTTATTAACCCTGGAGTAAGGAAACAAGGTGACTCAAGGCCTCAGAATTGAACAGTTCAGTCTTGGAATATTGTTTTCTAGATATTACATGTCACCCAGTCTGACTAGAGTTGCAGTGATTTAGAATAAATATAACATTTTTTAACTAATTAGAAACTATGGGATGTTGTGAACCACCAATGATGAGCAGGAGAAAATTTAAAGTTAGCAGGAGCTCAAGAATTTAATTTTAAAAATCCAATCTAATGTCAATGTTTCTGGTGACATTTCCATGAAATAGTGATCTAGATACTGATTCTTTCTTCCCCAAGTAAAATCCACTCTAGATCATTCCCTCACCCTTACATCAGATTCATGCAATGCTGAAAATTTCTGAGTCTTTATTATCACTATTATTATTTAATTTAAACAAGACGGGAAAAGAGCAGCACCTTTTAAAAAAACCCTGTTGTGGGCTATACAGGATAAACAGGTGAGGTTTAAAAAAAGTTAAGTTTATATATGTACATATACACACATACACTAAACCAAATTAAAACCAAAAAACTTGTGAGGAGGTAATTTTTAACAAGAGAGAAGAAAGCCTTATTCCACATCAAGCAAAAGCACCACAAATAAAGATTAGTGTGCACAATCACATGTAGTGCAGATACCAAACTAGCCTGGGTCCTGGAAGCAGTGGAGCTACAGCAGGACAGAGCTCCACGAGGGCCATCTTATCCTATTCCTTGGCAGAAGCAAGTCCAGAGTGTGCCTTCAGGAGGGTGTGCTGTACAGGCAGGACCACAGCTGCCTGCTCTGCCTCCAGTAGTTCTGGCAGATGCCACAAAACACAGCAAACCAGCAATGATAGGAGATCCAGAGCCGAGCTACAGACTAATTCAGCTACAGTTATTTCCATAACAGAGGTTTCTGAATTCCCTCATGTCTCTTGGGTGCTCCCTGTAGGTACTGCCTGCTTCAGTCACACAGCAGACAGCTCCAGATTATGTATTATTTGTGCACCGAGGTTCCCATTCTTACGTACCTGCACCTTTTCTTGTCTCTCTTCCACCCCACACCACCACTTCTATTTCCTCCAGGCTGACAGGGTAATAAAATTAGGAAAGGGAATGTACACCTAACTAAGGGGAACTGTCAACAACCAAATGTAGCTTAAAAAATAATAACAATTCTTAAAAAAATCCAATTAAAAAACCTGTTCAAGTTCTGCAGACTTCTGGCAGGCTTTGGTCATTTAGCCCAGAGGTCTTTGTCTTCAGGGCCTGTAGGCTAAATTGTCTTGACTGGTGAGAAGCATGCAGTACATGATAAAATTTTGACTAAAAGAGAAAGTAGTCAGGGCTGGGGGAGAAGAGGCTCTAACATGGAAAGCCCAGACTGCAGTAGCAGCACTTATGCCACACGGTAGGCTTTCAGGAGGGTGAATTCCTTCCTGTTGGTGCGAGCTGCCCAGATGAAAAGAGCAGCTGCCATGAACTGCAAAGGTGCTGACACACAGGCGAGGCAGAAGGACCAGCCGAATTCACCCCTCACGTCCTCGGGCAGAGGCAGCTTCCTATGGAGCAGCTCAATCCCAGCTACATAGCAGCCAACGAGGGCCAGCGTACACAGCCCTGGGGAAAGAAGCAGCAAAGCACAGTGAGCTCACCCATGAAGTGCTCCAGGGCTACTCTTGAGCTTCTGGAGGAGGATGGCAGGACACTTACCTGCTAGGAAATGCAGGACTCCAGTGGCAATGGCTGGGTAAAGGCTGCGACAAGCACAAGCACAGAGCCCAATCAGAGCCCCAAAGCACATGAGGCCAATGCTGACAAAGGGCAGGAGAAACTGCAACCGCCAGAGATCTGCACGTGAAAGAAACACACCAGTCAAGTTTGCTGTAAATGGGCTAGAAAAAGATCTTCTCCCACCATATGAACATTCACTTCTACCCTGCTGTTTCTACTTCATCAGACATTATATATTCATAGTCAAAAAGGACCAAAGATTCCACTGAAACAGAAAGAACCTAATTTGTTAACTCACAAATCCCTGTACTGCATTCATAGGCAAAACCCTTGCTGACACATCTATCTTCCTTTTAAACTTTGACCTACTGCCTGTTCAACTGTAAAAAATAAATGGTGAGCAAGACCAAAACAAGCTTTCCTCACTAGTGACTGAATTTGAGAAACAACTTCTTTTAATTCTACTTGTTCATCTACCAGAAGCGAAACACACTTACAAGTCCGATTCAAATCCGTGCCACTGTTGTGATTTCCAGGCTCTATGTACTTTTCTACAAACTGATCAGAGAGGGAGAAACTGATGCAGTTTGTAGTCATATCAGTTTCTGGGGATGGAAAAAAAGAAAAAGCTGCTGTTAGGTGTCTCCCCTCAACCCTCCTTCCCCTCTTTCAAATCCTCCTTTCCCAATAATTTGAGCTAGGAAGCTCCTGAGAGTTCCATTTGTAAAAAAAAAAAAAAATCACCTCTCCAAACAGATCTGTACATGTTTTCCTATGATGTAGTTGGCACAATGTGTCTGTTATGAGGTACTACACTAAGGGATAGCATTCCAACATGCAGAATCTTCAGGCTTCCCTGGATTATCCACAGAGAATTGTTCCATGTGTAACAGATTGGCAAAGTAATGTGGTGGCATATGATGTTGTCACATACTCTTGAACTCAGGGTCCCTTAACTAAGGTGTCCTTATCTCCATATGCAGAATGAGGTCTCGTACTAACAGTTAAATCAAAAATGGGACAGAAAGGCCTGTTGAAAGAACATGAAGGATTTGCTTCTTTACACTTAATTTCTACCTCAGATTTTACTTTGAGAATACTATTGAGCAGAACTGGTTTAAGTGTCTTCCAAAATAAGTATTTTTGTGAGAGAGGAAAAAAAAGTATTTCAGGCATGTTTTTTTTCTCCACAAAATGTAGTTGAAAGTACATATTTAAGAGGGTTCAAAATGAAGGAACTCCCACATACAGTAAGTACTCAAAACTAACTTTGAAGCAATTAAAATAATTGTTTACCACACATTTTATCCCCCAATGGTTTAAAAAAATACAAATATTTCACTCTATATCCATTCAAGGAACTCAAGGTGTGCTGGTGCAATGGTAGGACATTTGTGACATGAACAAAGTGAATGACTAGCTAAAAGGCATGAGTGCCTCCTCGATAAAGTAGTGTCTTTATTCCATTGCTGGACATCAGGATCTGTCCTACAAAGACAGTAACTGGTAGAGGAACTATAAATGTATCCCTAACTGGACAGCTGAGGCAAAATAAAAATCAAACTTGTAAGACTAAATTTAGATCAAGTATCATGCTTCAAAACCAGAAACTGCAGCACTGACAGCCACAGACCATTTTGCCCTTTGCTTCTTTAAAAATCTGGATTGTCTTTATTAAAAACCCAATCAAGTAAAACAAAAGCTAGAAATAAGCCTTCTGAAGGAACAGAGTGGCACAAATCTGTTCTGAGGAAGTTAGCACACAGCACCCCAGGGAAATCAGGAAAGTGATAATTGCTCTGGAGATACCTGGTGGGCTGTACCAGTGAGAGTTTTTGGGTACAGTGATGCACCTCCGCCACAATCCAACCGTGCCGTTGCACCGGAAGAGCGCATCTGTGTAGGTCTTCTCATCTGCATCTTTGCTGACAAACTCCTCCCAGATGCTTCTACCAGCCTCACTAACATTCTCGGCTGGGGACAGGGTGTGGTACTCGTACCAGAAGTCGGTGCCGATGGAGGCTGCCATGTAGATGGTGGAGATGAGGCTGAGCACGCAGGCGATCACCAGCGCTGTAGCAAACCGGTTATCCATCATGGCGCCCTGGGTGGGAGCACAGGGACAAGTGTGCAGCAGTGTTATCCCAGCAGCGCCAAACTCATCAGCCCCTCCTGCAAGGTCCTCTGAGGATATGCAGGCCTTCCTTTTCCTACCTGATACGATCAAAGCAACACTGAGCAAATCTACAGCACTGGCCAGCATCCAATGGATCTGCCAGTTCCAAGTAGGGATAATATCCTGGAGAGTGTGCTCTCCCAGCCACACTGCTGCTCACCCTGAAACAGCAACTGACAGAACAGCAACTTGTCCCCAAAGCAGATGACACAGCTTGCTGCCATTTGTGATCCTGATTGTAGGGAACGTCAGAGGCTCCATCCACAATGCCCAGGAAGAAGACTTAGCTTTCCTTAAGGGATTACCAAGAGAAGAAGTTATTTTTATCCTGCCACCCCATACGGCTTTCACAGCTTGTGTTTACAGCAAAGATAAGAACCACTGGCATGCTGAAAAAAAACCTTTCAGGCTGCTCACAAAGGGCAGCCATGCCAAGGTGCTGGAATGCCTTTAGGGAAGAGAAAAATATATCTAGGCACTAGAGACAGAACATGAAGGAAGCACTGGAAGACACATTTGGAAATTATGGTAAATGCTGCAATAATGCCACAATATATACCGTGGTATTTTTGAAGACCTAGAACAATGCAGGAGGGTGCCCTGTTCCATGGGAACAAGGGGACAAAACTGAAAGGCCTTCATATGCTCCCACAAGGACTTTGGTCTGTGTCCTCTCTTAGAGATCCTTTGTGGGGTCATGCTCCCAAATGGCACAGATTCAGGGTCAGAGGAGGCATGGGGGAAATACAAATATCACACATGCTTATGACAGTACCATTACTTTAACCAATAACTGATTGGTAATAAGGAATTGGAACATAAGGAATGTTTTGCAGCTGCAATACTCCAGAGGACTCCTCTCAGATGTCAGTTGTTCTCATGCACTTTCTGTGCTTGATTAAATGTATGGATTATTATGAATCAGGCTTGAGGCACTTGCCAGGAACAAAAAAGGAAAAAAAATGAAACTAGCTCAGCAGCTAGAGGTAGGCTGGTGGCAGGAGCTACTATCTAATCAGCTTTTGTCTCCTGCTTGTCTCCTCCCTTCTCCCACACACTTTGATCAAAATATTTTGCTCTACTTTCTTTGCAACTAAAGGAACCGCAACTGGAAACAGCAAGTACCTTAAACCTCAACATTCACAAGAAAAAAAAAACAGTGAAGTGCCTCAAGTCAGACTTGTCAGTAAGAAATTATGAACTAAGAAACAAACTGCAAATTAAAGAAGGGAATTTCAAAGGCATCAATGTTTGCTGTTAACAACACCATTCTTATTTCTTTTCCTCTCCATCTGCTCCTCTATTTGTCTGAAACTGGCTAACAAGGAGGAGAAATTATGTGTTCCCATATAATTTCCTATGCTTAATTTCCATATTAAATGAGGCACAGTCTCTGCAATATCCATCCTTCAACTGCATCCTTAGCAATGAGAAAGAATAGAACTGATTTGTGGTGAACCAACAAGAAACACCCATTTAAAATACTGCAAAGTTTGCATACCACAACTTACTTAAATAATAATCTACAAACTGTGAACTTTTACAAGACAATAGAAATATTGAGAAGGAGAATACATCATATCCAGGTTTATTTATGTGAAAAACATAGAATCAAGCCCAGATTTGGAAGGAAATTGTCTGTGCAGTGTTTAATTCCTGGTTATGTACTTCCACTCTCCTTCCATATCCCAGCGTCTTGTTCCAGGTACACAGGATATGGGATAGGGAGCGCAAGTTGCTGCATAGATCTGACCTCACCATTCAGCCCCACTGAGTCAACTGAGGGATCCCTGCCCCTTCACACATTGTCCCCAAAGCAAATAGGGCAAGTGGCACCTGCAGGGCCAAAGCTGCTGCCCAGCTGAACTCAGAGCTGAGCAGATCACCCTCAGAGCAAGCAGCACAACAGGCTGCTGAGCAGGCTGGTCTGGATTTTCCACTATATTGCAATCACATCTACTTCAAGAGGAACTCTCTGCAACAGACTCCTCTCTTTAGAAAGGGCTCTCTCTGGGTGGAAGGATCAGAACAACCCACAAGCTCCATCCTAAGAGTAGTGTCTGGTGAAAAAGAATGTAACCAGGACATTACTGGGCCACTGTGATCTGCTGTCACTACCTTTCAACAGAAACGCTGACAATGACAAAGCCCTACCAAATTTATACCTAACACAGAGAAAGAAAAGAACTGCCCCTATAGTCTTACTTTCACCTACATATCCCTGCTACCACGTGCAGAACACTGCAGCTGGCAGTGTCCCTACCAGATCACCATCAGAAAACAACCACAGACTTCTGGACCAGCATTCTGGGTGCTGGTGTGCTGTGAACATGACAGAGCTGACGTCAGCTGGCAACCAAGAACAGTTCATAAGCAAAATGAAGGCTTAATCACCAAACAGCAAATTAAAGCTTTGCCCAGTGTTCATTATCCACTTGGTAAAAGGGACATGGCAATCTACTGACACTCAGTCCTTGTAATGTTACTGCAGGAATAGCCAAGGGGGCTACAGACCCCAAAATCTAGCAGGTGGCCTTGTGTAGCATTTGTCCCAATATTACTTTCAGTATGGACAGGACAGCGACAAGCAAGGCAAGAGGGGACCCCCAATTCCTTACAATAAAGGTCCCTTCAGTCCTTCTGCCTAACACTTCAACTACTTATGGAAAAGATGAAGAACTCTACAACACTTAACCAGTTGCAAAGCTTAAACCAGTTTTTCCTGTCAGTGGAGTAGACTTGACTACCCTGCCCATTCACTGTGCATATCCATTGCATCTTCATTTACAGGAGACAAGCTCTCCCTTAAACGGTGTCCTTTAAAAGAGAGAACCAATCTCAGGCAGAGCTCAAAGGAAGCAGTGAGCACAGTCAGTAAGAAATAGTTACCAGAGAAGACCATGAAGAAACACACTGTGTTTTTATGGGATTAATGCTGCAGTTTGCAAAAGACTCTGTGCAGAACAATGTGTAGGAGGTGCTTTAGAATAAACTCACTTATGAAAAAAATAACATTACTACTACCAAAGATGACACTAATTACACAGACATAAAGATTGATACCAAATAAAAATGCTTTTTATCCACAGTCTGTCAACAAAAGCCTTCATTGTTTTAAGAGGTATGTTCACATACCTCTGTCAGCAGTTTTTTGTCTAACAGGGGATGCTATTTCAGACAAGTTTCAGCTGAAACTAAACTATGCACCGAATTTAAGATAACATTAGGTGGTTGTAAACAGGCAAAAGTGCTTAATGAGATACTGCAATTATATTCATTTTTAAAAAAAGTGAGACACAGAAAAATTTTTACATTTTCAGAAAAGAAAATTTTTGAAAAAAGCTCAAAAAAGCGAAGGTAAAGGCCAAACTGGAAGCAATACTCAACACCATGACTAAATTGCATGCACTTCAAAGAAGGGAAAAACAAAGGGGACGAGTCAGTAGAGCTGGGAAAGAAAAGACAGAGAATGGGACAAAAACAAGTATTCTGGCAAAAAATCAACTCTAAGACTGAAGGCTGGACAGTCTTTGTAAGAAGTTACTGTACTATGGCAGAAGGGAATACAAAACCGCATATTTTTATGCATATTTTTATCTTGTTGCTGCGGTCACTCAGCCAACAGTGGGTCACCACATTTAAGAAACTCCTTTTACGTGACATCACAAAAGAGTCCCCGCTGCATTCACTGGCATTCTCTCAGGGAACATGCCAGCAATCAAAAAGGGATTAGGCAGAAGGCCTACAGGCAGGTGCAATCATGGGGAGAGGGCTGGAAGCAGTGCCAAGATGGGTCGTCCGTTCGATATTCAGGACAAAAAAGGTCAGGAAAGATTGCTACCAAATACTTTTTTACCTTTAGAGATGCTCAGAATCCCTCAGGACACACAGTTCCGATGATTCCAGGTCTCTTCAGAGGCACAGCGTTGTTTGTGTCCTGTGGCCAGCGGAGAGCATGAAACACAAACTTCCCTTCTGCCCTGACTGTTCCATTCATTCAGCTTCTTCCACACCACCAGTTCACAATAAGTGGCCTACAAGCAAAGAGCAAACCGAATGGCTGGACATCATCATTTTACTCTGCAATTACTTCACAGGCATCTCCCAGTGCTATCACTAACTTAAAAAAAAAAAAAAAAATATATATATAGATAAGATGGACAGGGGAAATTACTTGCAGAGCTCTCAGGCCGAACGCACCTGCAGGACCAGCCCAGGACCGGACCGGGCCGGCCGAGCATCCCCACGGACCGAGACCGCCCCGGGGGTCCCGGGCCTCCCAGGCGTCAGCCCCGCGCGAGGGGCGACACCGCGGGCTGACAGAACACCCGAGGGGAACAACCGGAGCACTCAGCCCTGTGGCCTGCCTGAGCCCGACACCCCTCACGGCCGGCCCGGCCCGGCCCGGCCCGACACCCACCGCCGACCGCCGCCGCCTCGCACCCGGCCCGGCCGCGCTTCCGCCCGCCGCGCCCGCCCGCGCGGGGCACGCTGGGCGATGTAGTTCTGCCGCCCCTTCCGGAGCGCCGGGCCCAGCGCCCCTGGGCCGCTCTTCCCATAGCTCCTCACGCTTCCAATGCCTCCTCACCCTTCCCGATGCCTCCTCACCTTTCCCAATGTCTGCTCACCCTTCCCATGGCTCCTCACCTTTCCCGATGGCTCCTCACCCTTCCCACGGCTCCTCACCTTTCCCACAGCTCCTCACCCTTCCAATGTCTGCTCACCCTTCCCATGGCTCCTCACCCTTCCAATGGCTCCTCACCCTTCCAATGGCTCCTCACCCTTCCCACGGCTCCTCACATTTCCCTGGCTCCTCACCTT